GGGGGTGTCAATAGTGGCCACAGGGCGCGCGGGGAGGCGAGAAAAAGAAAGAGAGAGAGAGAGAGAGAGAGTGACCGAGGGTCGAGGGGCGCACAGCGAGGCTCCGGAAGTTTCTGAGAGCAGGGGCGCAGCTGGCTAGCGGGGACTCGGCTGCATGGGCAAGTGGCTGTCGGGTGCGGGGGCGAGGGTGGGAGAGGGAGAAAAACAGGCGTGGGTGTGGGGGTGTGGGCGTGGGTGCGTGTGGGTGCGCGTGTGGGTGTGTATGGGTGTGTGCGGGGGGGAGAGGAAGGAGGCAGAGGGGGAGAGGGGAAATTCTTCTCTCCAAGGGTTGGGCTGAGTGGGGCCTGGGGCGCATCTAGCGGGGGGTGCGGCGCTTTTTTCTCCCGCGCTCCTGGCCGCGGGGGAGGCCCGGGCCGGGAGGCGAACGGCGTCCGGACCCCGCGCGCCCCCGCCCCCGCCCCCGCCCCCGCCCCAGACCCCGAACACGGACAGCGCGGGGAAGGGCGCGCTCCCGCGCAGCCGGGAAACACGCGCCTGCCCCGGGGGAAGAACGGGCGCGCAACCGCCGACCCATCATCAGTTGGCTCCCGCCTGCTGCCGCCTGCCGGTGTGTCCCCCCCCCCCCCGGGCCACATGAGTGATTGTCCGTTTCACCCCCCGGGGGGCTAGCGGTGCCGGCGGCAGCAGTCGGGGACCGGAGGGGGGGGGGGGGGGGGGGGGGGGGGGGGGGGGGGGGGGGGGGGGGGGGGGGGGGGGGGGGGGGGGACGCGCCGGCAAGCCGCCCGGCGGCCGCCGGGGCGGACACATCGACGCCTGCTGACCACCCTCGCCCGGCGGCGGCGGCAGCACGCCGGTGCCTCTGCAGGGGCCACCCGGCGGTGGCAGAGCCCCCCACGCAGTGACACCCGCCAGCTGCCATGGGAGAGACGCTCCCGCGCCCCCCCCCCTCCCCCGGGGGGGGGACGTGGCCGTTTTTACCGGCGAGCGCGGGCAAAAATGAGCCGGCCCGGGCCCCGGAGCTGGCCCGGCCGGGGGCTGGAGCCTGCCGATGATCGTCGGCACCGTTCCCACCGGCACCCAGCCCGCCGCGCCCCCCTGGCCCCCCCGGCCGCCGGTGCTCTCTCTCCCCCTCTCGCTCTCTCGCCCTCTCGCCCTCTCGCCCTCTCGCCCTCTCGCTCTCACGCACTCGGCCCCCACACACATACCCAGGGCGCACCAGAGCACCCTGGGCGAGTTGAGCCGCTACCAGGAAACGACCCGGGCCGACCGGGCCCCGGCACGCCAGGCGGCCCGACGTCCGGGCCGTGTGTGCGCGCGCTCGCAGAGAAATTCACCCCGCCACGATGTTGGTTGGTATTTGCCGATATGGGGAGCCGAAAATGGCGCGCGCGCGGCCGCCGGCGCGTGAAGGCCCCGCCCGGGCTCCTCGGGAGCGCCCGAATGCGCCCACAACCCGTGGCGGCCCGCTGGCGCACGTTTTCCGTGGCGCGCCCGCGCAGGGCGGGCCCCGGTGGAGGCCGCGGCGGACGGCCAAGAGCGCCCTGCCCATGCCCCGGCCCACGCACGCGCGTACGCACGCGCGTACGCACGCACGTACGCACGCACGCACGCACACACCCACCGGCCGCACACTGGCGCCCCCCCCCCCGTCGGCGGCGGGCCGGGCCCAGCCCGAGAGAGAGAGAGACGCGCCGGCGCGGCTTTGCGCCCCCAGGCAGCCCCTCCCACAGCGCGACCGGCCGGCCGCGCCGATGGACAGCAAGCCGGGGGGCCACCACCCGGAAGGAAGAAAAAAGACCCATTCAATATCCCCACTTGATATACCTCGCCCGGGGGAAGGGCGGCCCGCGCATAGCCCCACCCCCCGATCATCACGCGGGGCCGGAAAACAAACAATACACCCTCCCATACCCGCCGGGGCGGGCGGTTCCCGCGCGTCCGTTCCCCGCGCGCGCGCGCGCGCCCCACCCCGTGTATGTGCGGCACGCACGACACCCAACGCCCTTGACCCACGCCGCAAGGCCCAGGGACGTGTGTGTGTGCATCGCGGGCGCGCCGCCCGTCCTGCCGCCCGGCCCGCCGCCCTGCACTCTGCCCCCAGGGCGCATGCGCGGGGGGGGGGGGGGGGGACGCCGGCTCCGTTGGCGCGCCACGTCGGGCGGGGCGCACGTGTGCCTCGGCACGTGCGCAGGCATGACCGCAGGGGGCGGAGGCTCGCCGCCATTTCGGCCAGCCGCACGGGACCCCCCGGCCCCATGACCAAAACACCCCCCCGCCACCTACGCGCACAAAGCAGCATCCGCCCGCCACACAGCACAGACAAGCAGGTCCATTTGCCCCCGCGCCTCACGGGTAGACATGGGCCAGGGCCTCCGCCAGCCGGCGCCCGAGGACCGTGTGCTCCGGCCGGGCACCGGCCACCGGGCCGGCCGCCGCGCGCAAGAGCTCCGCCACCGGATGCCAGTGCCACGCCCGCCCGGGGCGGCCGTTCTCCGGCGCCACGCCATGCCCCTGCTGCAGGGCCCCCAGCCGCAGGACCGCCTGCCAGGCGCCCGGCCAGCTGGCCTCCGCCCCGGGGAGGATGCCCCGGGCCAGCGACTCGACCAGGTCCTCGGCTAGGCGTCCCTGCTCCAGGCCGACGGCCACGCCAGCCAGGACCCCGGCCAGGGCGACGGCTGCCTCCGCCGCCTCCGCCGCCGCCTCCGCCGGGCCAAGCCTCAGCAGGTCCCGGGCGCCGGCGACCAGCGCGCCCGCCTCGACGCGCAGCAGGCGCCGATCCCGCACGGACACCGCCTCGGACCCCAGGGCGAAGGTCGTGAAGCCCCCGGCCCCCGGGCCCGGCCCGGCCGCCAGGACACACAGCCGCCAGCCCGCAACCGAGGCCGCCAGAGGCGGGGCCCCCCGCGTGGAACCGGCCGCCCGGACGCACTTCAGCGCCGACGCATGCCCCGGCTCGTGCTGCTGCCCCAGCAGGGCCGTCTCGATCTGCCGCAAGGTCCGCCGTCAGCCCGGGCCAGAAGGTGCCCCGGCCGTTGGCCCCGGCCGGGGGAGGAAAGAAAAAGAAAAAAAAAAAAAGAAAAAGAACGACCAGCAAACCAACACCACCGGAAGCACGCACCTCGATCAGCAGCAGCACGGCCCGCACGCCGGACCCGTCAGACCCCCATCGCAGACTGCCCAGCGCCGCTGGCACATCATCGGCCGCCGGCCGGAGGGCCGCCCGCAGGCACGCCCACGCCAGCAGCCGGGCCAGCGACAGGAGCAGCCAGCCCGGCCCGGCGCCCCGTCCCACCGGCCCCGGCTGGCCGAGCCCCGCCGCCAGCAGCAGCCCAGCGCCCTCCAGCAGCCGCGCCGCCACCGGCGCATCGCCCAGCGGCGCCCCGGCAAAGCGCCCAGCCAGGCCCCCGGTCAACAGCGACCGGTCGGCCTCGGCCTCCAGGCACGCCAGCAGTGGTCCCAGCGGGCCGAGCTTGGCCCCGGCCATGGCGGCCGCCTTGCCGGGCTTGCCGCCGGCCGCCAGCCAGACGTCGACCGACTCCGGGGTCGGGATCGCCGGCGGGCCGCCACCGGCCCCGGCGCACACATGCCCCAGCAGAGCCACCCCGGAGGCGGCCAACACCGCCACACCCGAGACCATGTCCCCCGGAGCCGACCGGCCGCCGCCCGGCCGCCGGACCCGGCCAAAGCCAAATGGCGCCATCAGCCGCAGCAGGGTCAGATGCCGGCCAGCCAGCGAATCCCGCCGGGTGCCCGGCTCCGGCGCCCCCTGCAGGGCCAGCTCCCCGAGCTGCACGCACGCCAGCATGTGCGCCGCCGCCTCCTGGATGTTCCCCAAGCTGGCGTACTCTGTCGGCGCGCGGGGCACAGCATGTCAGCCAAAGTGCCCGGCGAAGGAGGCCAAGGGAAAGGACCACGAGCACAGGCGAACAGGTGCCCACCCTTCACGGCGCGGGCGAGACAGAAAAAAAGCAGAGGAAGAAGAGGGAGAAGGCAGGGGGGAAGCAAGCGGCGATGGCGCACCACGCGCAACCGAAAGCAGGGCCCCGGCCGACTTGTCCAGCCGGCCGCGCCGCTGCTCGGCACAGGCGGTCCCCAGCACCGTCGGCAGGTGCTCGGTCACCAGCGTCGACACGCGCACCAGCTCGCGCGTGGTGGCTGCCACATTGCGGCCCGGCGCCGGGGCGCCCGTCGGCCCGGGGCCAAATTGCAGGAAGGCGTCCAGCCGCGCCGGGCTGGCCAGCCACTTTTGCTCGGCGCCCTGGTGGCCGGCCGAGGCCAGGTGGTTGCGGAAGGTCCCGGCCGTCTTGAAGCGCAGCCCCGCCTCGGCCGCGCCGCGCCCCGACCCGGCCGAGCACATGAAGCACACCAGGTCCCCGACCGGCGGCCGGTGCACCGCCGGCGGCAGGACCAGCGCCAGCTCCGGCGCCCGGGCGTCCGGACGCTCGACGTCACTCGCGCGGAAGGCTGTCCCAACGACCGTAAGTCACAATGCCCGGCGTGTGGGCCTTCCATCCAGCCACCGGCCAAGAGGCAAAAGGGGAGGATGCCCCACAGGGAGCAGCCCGGCCCCGGGGCTGGTGTGGGGCCAACAAAAATGCAAGAACAAGGGGCGCACCGCTGTCGGCCAGGCGCCAGAGCCCCGGCTCGGCCACCGGCAGAGGAACCACATACGGCTCCATGTGTGCGTGTGCCTGCGTGCGTGCGTGCGTGCGTGCGTGCGTGCGTGCGTGCGTGCGTGCGTGCGTGCGTGCGTGCGTGCGTGCGTGTACGTGTGTACGTGTGTATGTCGACTGCGGCACTGACCAACAAACACCCGGAGAAGGGAGGAGGGAAGGGGCGAAATGCGACAGTGGAATGAAAGCAGAGGGCAAGAGGGAATGTCGCCTGCGTGGCCACCACTGCATGCCCAGGGAGATCTCCCTCTTGAGTGTGCCCCGTCCCCCCTCCCTCCCTCCACGCCCATTGCTCCGGGGGGGGCGCCGGGAAACACACAGCGTGGGGCCGATCGCCCGGAGCGTTGGCACATGCGCACACGCGCGCCACGCCGATCTGCCCCGCACCCTTCTTCTCCGCCCCCGCCCCAGCGCGCGCGCGGGGGCACACGCAGAGGGAAGCGGCACACAGGCGTGCCCTCACTCGCCCGTCCGAATGCGCGGAACGGGGGTATGCCCGGGGAATGTGGTGCTTTCGGGAGGATCTATTGGGGGCCAAGCAAGAGGAGGGACACGAACATGGGGGGGGGGGGGGGGGGGGGACAGGGATAGCCGGGGCGCCTTGGCACTACTTCGAGGGCGCAGCGGCACCGGCGGCCGGCGCGCTGTCCGCTCGCCCGTACCGGCCGCTCCCGCGCTTGCGCTTCACGGGCACTGCCTCGCGCGGTGCCGTGACCCGGGTCAGGAGCTGAGGCAGGG